AACAAGATAAGGATGTCTACTCTCACCACTTTTATTCAACATAGCTTTGGAAGTCCTAGCTACGGAAGTCAGAGAAGAAAAAGAAATCCAAATTGGAAAAGAAGAAATTAAACTGTCACTGTTTGCAGATGACATAATACTATAGATAGAAAATCCTAAAGATGCTACCAGAAAACTACTAGAGCTCATCAAAGAATCTGGTAAATCTGCAGGTTACAAAATTAATACACAGAAATCTGTTGCAGTTCTACACACTGATAATGAAAGATCAAAAAGAGAAGTTAAAGGAACAATCCCATTTACCATCACATCAAAAAGAATAAAATGCCTGAAAATAAACCTACCTAAGGAGGCAAAAAACCTGTACTCTGAAAATTATAAGACGCTGATGAAAGAAATAGAAGTTGACACAAACAGATGGAAAGATATACCATATTCTTGGCTTGGCAGAATCAATATTGTCAAAATGACTATACTACCCAAGGCAATCTACAGATTCAATGCAATCCCTATCAAATTACCAATGGCATTTTTCACAGAACTAGAACAAAAAATCTTAAAATTTGTGTGGAGACACAAAAGACCCTGAATAGCCAAAGCAATCTTGAGAGAGAAAAACAGAGCTGGAGGAATCAAGCTCCCTGATGTCAGACTATACTACAAAACTATAGTCATTAAAACAGTATGGTACTGGAAAAAAATGGGAATATAGATCAATGGAATAGGATAGGAGGCCCAGAAATAAACCCATGCACCTATGGCCAATTAATCTATGACAAAGGAGGCAAGACTATACAATGGAGGAAAGACAGTCTCCGCAATCAATGGTGCTGTGATAACTGGACAGCTACATGTAAAAAAAAGAAGTTAGAACACTCTTTAACACCATACACAAAAATAAACTCAAAATGGATTAAAGACCTAAATGTAAGACTGGACACTATAAAACTCTTAGAGGAAAACATAGGCAGAACACTCTCTGACATAAATGGCAGCGATATCTTTTTTGATCCGTCTCCCAGAGTAATGGAAATAAAAACAAAAATAAACAAACGGCACCTAACTAACCTCAAACTTTTGCACATCAAAGGAAACCATAAACAAAAAAAAAAAGACAACTCACAGAATGGGAGAAAATATCTGCAAACGAAGCAACCAACAAGGGATTAGTCTTCAAAATTTACAAACAGCTCATGTGGCTTAATAGCATAAAAACAAACAACCCCAATAAAAAAAAAATGGGCAGAAGACCTAAATAGACATTTCTCCAAAGAAGACATACAGATGGCCAAGAGGTACATGAAAAGATGTTCAACATCACTAATTATGAGAGAAATGCAAATCAAAACCGCAATGAGACATCACCTCACACCAGCCAGAATGGCTGTTTTTGCACCAGTACAATACTGTCTTTATTACTGTAGCTTTGTGGTATAGTTTGAAGTCAGGGAGCCTGATTCCTCCAACTCCGTTTTTCTTTCTCAAGATTTCTTTGGCTATTCGGGGTCTTTTGTGTTTCTATACAAATTGTAAGGTTTTTGGTTCTAATTCTGTGAAGAATGACATTGGTAGTTTGATAGGGAGTGTACTGAACCTGTAGATTGCTTTGGGCAGTATAGTCATTTTCACAACACTGATTCTTCCAACCCAAGAACATGGTATATCTCTCCATCTGTTTATGTCATCTTTGATTTCTTTCATCAGTGTTTTACAGTTTTCTGAATACAAGTCTTTTGCCTCCTTAGGCAGGTTTATTCCTAGGTATTTTATTCTTTTTGTTGCAATGGTAAATGGGAGTGTTTTCTTAATTTCTCTTTCTGATTTTTCATTGTTGGTGTATAGGAATGCCAGAGATTTCTGTTCATTAATTTTGTATCCTGCAACTTTACCAAATTCATTGATTAGTTCTAGTAGTTTTCTAGTGGCATCTTCAGCATTGTCTATGTATAGTATCATGTCATTGGCAAACAGTGACAGTTTTACTTCTTCTTTTCCAATTTGTATTCCTTTTATTTCTTTTTCTTCTCTGATTGCTGTGGCTAGGGCTTCCAAAACTAAGTTGAATAAGAGTGGTTAGAGCGGACATCCCTGTCTTGTTCCTGATCTTAGTGGAAATGCTTTCAGTTTTTCACCATTGAGTATGATGCTTGCTGTGGGTTTGTCATATATGGCCTTTATTATGTTGAGGTAGGTTCCCTCTATGCCCATTTAATGGAGAATTTTTATCATAAATTGGTGTTGAAATTTGTCAAAAGCTTTTTCTGCATCTATTGAGATGATCATATGGTTTTTATTCCTTAATTTGTTAATGTGGTGTATCACACTGATTGATTTGTGTATATTGAAGAATCCTTGCATCCCTGGGACAAATCCCACTTGATTGTGGTGTATGATCCTTTTAATGTGCTGTTGGATTCTGTTTGCTAGTATTTTTTTCAGGATTTTTGCATCTATGTTCATCAGTGATACTGGTCTATAATTTTCTTTTTTTGTGATGCCTTTTTCTGGTTTTGGTATCAGGGTGATGGTGGCTTCGTAGAATGAATTTGGGAGGGTTTCTCCCTCTGCAATTTTGGAAGAGTTTGAGAAGGACTGGTGTTAGCTCTTCTTAAAGTTAGTGAGGATCAGTGGCACTTCGTGGGTGGACCTCCTTAAGAGTGTCTGACAGCAGAAAGTTTGGTCAAGGAGGCTAAGAGGAACACTCAAGTCCTTCTTCCTCAGCTAGAAACCATTTGGGCTGTGACAGCTTTGGCCCACCAGATGGGTTATCTATGACTAAAACACATGTTTAGACCAAGTTTCCAGAGGATAGCAGCCCTGCAGACTACACTGGTGGTCCCTTGGTTCTACAATGAGAGAGTGACAGTGGTGGATGATGAGATTGTTAACAAGACTCTAAGTTCATTAGTGCCACTCCTGCTGGTTATCAAGCTCAATTAAAGCTCCTCATAACATCAGGTCCGTCTGTTAGTGACATAATCCAGAACTTAACTGACAAATTCCTGGGCAGGGAAAATGTAACTACTGCCAAAATAACAGAGAGAGACCATCACATAAGGTGACATGAAAATGGTAACTGGGAACACACTAGTGGAGAATTTGGGTAGTGCTCTCCCAATACCTCTGGGTCTGTTTTTTAAACAGTGGGAGCTCAAAAGAAGAGATTAATGGGTTCTCCACTTAGGAACTCATGGCCAAGTAGCATACCTTAAGGGGCCAAATGGCAACCCCTATAGGGTATGCCAGGTAATAATGACCCCTATGACTAACAGAAGTGCTATTTCTTTTCCTTCTTCCAGCAAATTCTAAAATGAATCATAGAGCCTTACCAACTTTTACCCAAACTTTTTGGATTAAACAAGACTATGAAATGTCCAATGTTCCTAAGTCCAGAGTGAAGAAGTGAGATCCTATGCCAAGGGTCAAAGTTCAGAGTACACATGAGGGAGAATTGCATTTCTTGGGCCTTTGGTAATGGTCCACAGTTGATGGTGACCCCCAATCCCCTGGAATGAGAATGAGAAAATTGATAATGCTCTCTGATTTTCTGTCTGAAGCCAACACCACCAAGATCCTTACCCAGCCTGACTACAGGTGTAACATATCATTATTGTGGCACCACTACTGAATGGATTATTGTTATAGATGTATTATCGATATGTATACCGGATTACACTTACTCTAAAGCCTAAAGGATATTATTGCATTTAAGACCATTTTAGTGGGGCATATGGAAGACTGTAAACCTACCAAACTATTACCTGCTAGCAGTATTGTCTCTCAAAAACAGCATTAATTGCCTCAGGAATTCAAAAACAAACAAACAAAACTGCCCCCATTGCTGTGCTTAAGGAAGCCAAGGTTCATTATCTGAGTTTTGCAAAAGGCCTTGGGTACCTGGAAACTCAAGCAAAAATCAGGCTCAGTGATGTAGTACAGCTATGGCAATAGCATTACCTGACACTGTGACTGACATAGCTTTTGCCCAAGCTGAGGGAAATAGGTATGAAGCAATTCACATTGCAAATGCCCTTTTCAGCATCCCTGCCAAACAGATGATCAGGATCAGTTTGCCTTTGGTGTAATGCGTTGCAATACACCTTTAATGTCCTTCCACAAAGCCATGAGCAGGAAGAAGTCCCACTTCCAGATGGAGCCCTAGCCTTCCATATATTAATGAATGCCTCCTAGTGGGTCGAGGAAAGGGTACCACTCAACCAGGACTGTATGCCATTTTGACGCACATGTAGCAACATGTCTAGGACATTACTATGGACAAGGCACAAGGGCTTATGAATCCTGGGAAATTTCTGGGAATAAACTGAGAAGGGACAGTAGCTCTCAGTCCAGAGACAATAACTGCCTAGTTTTAGTCATGCTCAGGTTCTCAGCCCCAACAAACACAAAGGATGCCCAGTGACTTGTGGGAGTATTCAGATACTGGTACTCACAACTTCCCCTACAAGGCCACCTTGATGACAGCACCCATCAATCAGGTAACCAAAAAGACCTTTACCCTGAGTGGGGCCTGACAACAGGATACCCTAGAGACCCTCCAACGGGCTACACAGGCAACCCTTTCCCTTGCCCCCTTGAATCCACCGCCTTTTAGGTTGCGGGTCTCAGCAACCTCTCTGTTTGCCAATTGGAGCCTGTGGCAAAAGAACACTGCCACACATCAGAGGTGCCAGCTGGCTTTGGACTCATAATCTTCTACCGTTAACTGAAAGTAAACACCCTTTGAAAGACTACTGACCAGTTATGGATCTTGGTGGACACTGAGTGCAGAAGTCCCGCCATGAAGTAGTTTTATAACAAGAAATTCCAACCAAATGTTAAATGTTTCTTCTTCTCTAGTTGTTTTATGGTATTCACATTTAGATCAAAGTGTAAAATTCCTATAAATTATATGCTCAAATACATATTCATGAACTAAAGAAATAAGTTCTGATGTGATTACTTTTTTAACATTTAAAGGTACCTATAATTGTTATACTTACTACTGTGTTGTCCTCCTCTGGAAGTTATTTGTTTTTGTACTTGCATGGGGAGTTTTGACACTGAATCTTGATGTTTAAGCACAGGATTTTTGTCTGGTGTGTCATCATGAGCTACATAAAGAGATGCATTTAGTTCCTCCATGGAAAAACATATCTAGTATGCAATCTCTAGATTTCAAATTTATAACATATATACAGCAAAATTTTCTCTCATTTTGATAAAGTTATAAGTAAATTACCATAATGTCAGACGTGACATAAAATTTGAGAGGATATTTTTAATGGGCATTTGTTAAAGAAGGTGTAACACTAACATTTCTAGGCAATATCTATTGATCTACCTATCTATATATATCTGTTGTATGTGTGTGTGTGTATATATATATACAAATATATATACACACACACATACATACACAAAATATTCCTACCACGGGTGGTGATCTGAGCATGTATGCCAAGGTCAGAATTCAAAGTGGGGTGGGGCACTGCTGCATTTCTAGAGCCCTTAGGCTACTGGTGCACAGGCGACCATGATCTCCATAGCCTCTGACACCAGGTGCTGGGGGAAAGAGATAAAGCTCTCTGGCTTTTCATCTGAGGCCACCACCAAGGACACCCTTGGTCAAACACTACACTGAGTGTATCCTTTCAGGCAACCACAAAACTCCATTTTTATGGTCCCCGCTACTGAATGTGTAATGATGTAGATGTATCTTCTATGTGCACCCACATTCGAATTCAGTTCCCTCATGGGAACTGCTGTATTTAGGGGCATTTTAGAGGGGCACGTGGAAGACTGAGAACCTCCAGACTAAACAGTGCCTCCCACTTGTGTCTCCCTAAACTAATTCCTGGGAAGAAAAAGACATAAACTGCTCTCACTGCTGAGCTTAATAAACAGAAATTTCTCCATGAGACTATTTCCCATTTGAATAACTAACTTGATCTTTGCACACAGCCTCAAGTACATGTGACTCAACTGATTTTGGTAGGTCAATGCTATAGTACAGCGGTGAGACCCGGTGGTACCTACACTGTAACTGTCATACAGGCTGTTTTCCAAACTGAAGGACCTCAATATGCAAATCAAATGCCCTTTGCTGCATCCCTCTCCACATAAATGATCCCAGTTATTAGTTTAACCTTATATGAAAGGAGTTGCAATATCCTACTAATGTCCTTCACATGGCCACCAAATTGCTCAAATATCTATAATCAGGGCACAGCTCATGACGTCTAAGCAGCCTGCTCTCAAAGGGAGGACTAGTTTTCATTCAAGTGGGCCCAGACAAGGACACCCCCAACAAGGATTAGATCCCTGTGAACCCACCAGTAGCTCTTGGCTGGGCCATCAGTACACACAAGGTACAGTTAGTTACCTGGTAACTTAGTGAAATTCCTGGACATGTCCTCTAAGGGGCATGACATCTCATTCCAGAGGATAAGACTGCCACACTTGGGCTAATCAACTCCAATAAATAAAAAGCGGTCCAGCAATTAGTGACATTCTTTGACCACTTGCACTCTCATTTGCCCATGTGGAGCCCTTGATGACACCCATCTATGGGGTTACCAGAAAGGCTGCTTCCTTTCAGTGAGGACACAACCAAGAGGGTGCCCTAAGGACCCTCCAACAGGTCCCATGACCCCCATCTGATGCTTGATTTACAGATCTCAGAAACATCTGTTTGCCATTGGAGCCTATGGCAAAAGGCTGCTGTGACACGTAGAGGAATCCATTGCACTTCTGTACCCATAATTACCTGGAGTCAGCTGAAAGGCACACTACTTTGGAGAGACAATTATTCACCTGCTATTGGGCCTTGGGGCATTCATCTTCTGGTCATAAAATAATCTTAAGAACAGAAATTCCAACCAAAGGGTTCAATATTTCTGTTTTTCTCTAGTTATCTCATGGTATTCACACTTTAGTCAAAGTGTAAAATTTCTATAAAACATATGCTCAAAAAATACGTATCCATGAACCAAAATAAAAACATCTTGTAATGAGCTTAATTTAAAATCACTTGAAGTCTTCTGTAGCTTTTGTACTTACTAATATGTCTTTCCCCTTTGTGAGGGCTTTGTTTCTTCACTTGAATCTCTGATTTTGACACAGAATCTTGATGCTCAAGCATACGATTTCCATCTGGTACTTCATCCTGAGCTACATAAAGAGAAGGATGTAGTCCATTAAATAAAAAAAGAGATCCCTAGATTTCAAATTTAAAGCAGAGAACAGTGGTATTTTCTCCCATTTATATGAAGTTATAAGTAAATCACCATAATGCGAGATCAGATGTGAAAACTATGAGTCTTAATGAGTGTGTGTGGAAAGTATTTTTTCATATCATTAATATTCCTAATTTTAAATATGTTTTATATTAGTCTCTCATTTTCTGAGTTTTCCTGATGTTTTCAGTTAATACACACTGATAGATCAAACAAGGAAAATAGATATGTTCAAGATTATTCATTGCAGCATACCTGTAATTGCAAAATACTCAAAACCACTTAAGCGTACAAGCTAACGAATTGGTAAGCTAAAGTAGTGTATGTAAACTATGAAAATATAAACTATGGGATATGATGTAGCGCACACAGCTGTACAAATAGGTATAAGAGGAAATGAAAAACATCCTGACAAACTGACTTGGGAGCATTTCTAGGATGTAAGGCTTAATGAAGGAAAAAAACCTGAAAGAGAGAATTTTAACAGGCTAACTTTTAAGAAAGAAAGAAGAAAAGGGGAAAAAAAAAAGACAAAGATAACTTATCTTCAAAAGATGAAACAGAGAAAATATAAACCAAAAGACAACCTGGAGGGTTACAGAAGTCACTGCAGAAAGTGCTGGCTGAGTTGTACCCAGTGACTACTATTAACTCTTAGCCTGTCTCTGGTACTGATGGATAGCCCGTGATACAGTGAGGTTTTGAAACTCATGTCTAATGAAAAAGGCTCCAGATTTCTCAGTTTCACTTGACCAGCAACCTGAGGAGACTACAGAGACTCCACCATGGAGGAGCTACTCTTGTTAACTTCGTGAAGGACAGTGGCACCTTGTTGGCGGTGTCCCAACAGAACCCCTGGTTCTGAGTTCCCTGACACGGAGCACTTTGTCCAAGGAGGACAAGGAAGGGGGTGGGGAAGAAAAGACACAAACACCTAAGACACTCCCTTTCCTCTTCTGGCTGACATTTGGTTTCTGAAAATTTCCACCCACCCATGGTGAGTTCCCTGCTGCTGGAAACACTGTCTAGTTACCCAGCAGTGGAGGCTCAAGGAAGGGATGGATGGACTCTACCAAGGATCCTGTGGACAGGTACTGAGCCATGGGGGCCAACACACAGCCCCACGAGAACCAAAATGGTGATGACACTTATTACTAATACACATGCTATTCCTTCTGCTCCTCCCAGCAGTCTCAAGATGAAATGGAGAACTCTATTTTTACCCAGAATGCTTGGCTTATAAAATTACACAAAATTAGGGATTAGCCAAGTCCCTATGTCCCCTTTGGCACCTAAGAATATATGCCAACTCAGAGTTCATAGGGGCAGTGGGGGGAGACTGCATACCTTGGGCCATTTGGCTACTAGTTTACCAATGACTGTTACCTTCACAACCGTGACGCCAGGATGAGAGGAAAACAGTTAATGCTTTTTGGCGTATACTTACACCTGGCCATGGTGGGGGGTGCCTTTGGACACTATATACCTCTATTTTATGGCCCCCACTACTGAATATATAACGAGTACAGGTGTATTTTCTATGTGAACTCCAACTCACATCAGCACCAAGCCGTGATGAGCACTACTGCACTCAGGGTCATTTTAGTGGGGCATATGGAAGACTGTAAACCTACCAGACTACCAGTGCCTAGAGATTCGTCTCCAAAAACAACTACTAAGCAAAGAAAAACAAATGCCTGCCCTCTTTGCTGAGTTTAGGTAAGCCAAACATCTCTGTGAGATTACCTCTCCATTCAATAATTGAGTGAACCTGTGCATATGGCCTAACATGCCTACAGACTGGATTACAGGCAGCTTAATGCTATGGTACAGATCAGGACACTGGCCTTACCGAATACTGTGACTGCCATAGAGGCTCTTGCCCAAGCTGAGGGAAACAGGTATAAAGTAATTCACATTGCAAATGCCCTTCTCAGCATCCCTGTCCACACAGATGATCAGGATCAGTTTGCCTCTTGTGTAATGGATTGCAACACACCTTTAATGTCCTTCCCACAAGGTCATGAGCAGGAAGAAGACCCACTCTCAACTAGCTGCCCACTATATTGGTGGCATCCTCCTGGTGGGCCCAGGCATGTGTACTACCCTACAGGGACTGATGCTATGTTGATCCATACTCAGCAACACAGCTGGGTCATTAACAGGGACATGGACAAGGACTGTGTGGGAAAGCACAATACGTATCATCTTGAGGAGATAACCACCAATATTTGTCCTCTTACTCACAACAAATACAAGAGTCCCAAAAATCTGTGGAGCTATTCTGCTACTGACACTCTTACATTCCCCTCAGTGGGATCCTGACTGCAACCAACTATTAAGTTTCCAAAAATGCACCTACATTTGAATGGATCTCAAGCGGATGGTCTGGAGGCCATCCAACAGGCCTCCCAGGTCACACTTCTCCTTGGTCCCTCTGATAATGAACTGAGATACAGCTCTCAGCAACTTCTCTGTTCATCATTTAGAGTCTTTGGAAGAAGGCAATTCCACAAGATAGTGGATTAATTTAGGCTTCTGTATGCCTAACTTCCTGTAGTAGGGTGAAAGGTACACACATTTTGAAAGACAATTATGTGCCTATTATTGGTTTAGTGGATACTAAGTGCATGAACCATGACTATGAAAAATATTACAATCAGAAATACTGACCAAAAGTTTCATAACTTTAGCTTTTATCCTCTAGTTATCTTAGGGTATTTATACTTTAGGTTAAAGTATAAAATTTCTCCAAAATATATATTAAAATACAGATTTATGAACCAAAGAAGATCTTTAGCTGTAATTAATTTTAAATAACTTAAAGTTATCTGTAGTTAGTATACTGACTGTGTCTTTTCTCTCTTTGTTTCTTTATTTGCATTTGGGTTTTTGACATTGGTTCTTGATGCTCACATATAAGATTTTCATCTGATGCTTTATCATAAGCTACATAAGAGATATACTTAGTCCACTGAATAGAAAAATACAACTATTATAAATCCCTATATATCAAATTTATAATAAGAATACAGCAACATTCTCACTTTTCTGAAGTTATAGTGAAGTCACCATAATGCTAGATCTGATAAGACTGTGAGAGGAGTTTAATAAATAGATGTGTTTTGACTCTTTCTCATTATCTCATAAACATTTCCAGGCATTATACATAGTTTATATTTGTCTCTATTTCTCTTAGGTTATTTATATTTTACAGATCACATAGACTTCATAGACCAATCAACAAAATGCAAGTGTACAATTTGCTAATTACAGCATTATTCGTAATCGCATATAAATGTTCATGCATGGGAAACTAGATAAACAAGCTAATACATATACTATAAACTTGGTAAATTATGGTAAATAACATGGTACAAACTGTTGTATGTAGAGATGTAAAAGGAATCAAATGAACCTCTATAAACTGACTTGGAGGGATTTCAAGAAGATAATATCAAGTGGAAAAAAAAACCCAAAGGTGAAAAGTTGTGTGGTACCTTCTAGGTAAGGAAGAAGGGAAAATAAGGAAATAAGAGACAGAGAGAGACAGAGAGAGAGAGGGGGAGAGAATTAGTGAGATACTTACCTTTACAAAATGAAAAACAAGTGAGATAGAAAACAATGTAGTTGGTTACCCATACGGTAAAAGGGAGAGAAATGAAGAAGAAATGCTACTCCTCTAAGTATACCTTTTTGTATAGTTTTTACTTTTGGAAGCAGGGTCAGGTTCCACATGTTTCAAAAATAAAATTAAATAACAAAAGAGGAACTAAAACCGAAAGCAAACTTAAAGAAATGAACCTACTGAAAGAAAAAAAGTACTAATGCAAGTAACTCATCAATACAATATTTGACATATACCCTCATTCACGGGCAGAAGTGTGGAGAGACTGTAAACACATGACAAAATATTTTCAGGAGGATTGTTTTTCCATACCTATAGGTGAAGAAATTCCAAAATAATTTTATAGGCATAACAAGATGGACCAAATGAGTAAATGTGTTATATTAGTCAGAGAGAGTATTCACGAAGTGGAAGAAAGGACATGCACACATGAAATGGAAGTAGGCAGAACAAGCCCTGAGGGGATGAAGTAGAATTGAAGGTTTCCAAGATTTATCATGAATTCTAAATATGTCTATGCAGGTTTATATACACACGTGTAGGTATACAGGCCAATATATGTGTATAACTACATATGTATATACAAGTACATATATAAAAGTGTGAATATACTTAAGAAACCTGACGCCAGGCTGGATCTCATGTGTGATCTTTCAGGCACAATCACAGACAATTATAAAGGCATTACCTGGCAGTTACCATGGGGAAAAGAAGTTTCTCAACCCACAGAGACTTGATGCATAGCCAGTGCACTGCAGGCACTGGAGGTGGTTGCAGTCAGGGACACAGCCCTTCCGCCCCCATCACTCTCTCAAGTACACTGCATTCTTAGCCCAGTCACCGTCAAATGGAGGCGGGGGGTGGGACTTGACTGGGACACTGTATTGTTCGGGCACTGCTACTGCCTAGACTACCTTATGGGGGGTGGGCGGGGCTTGAAGAAACTTTTCTCAGTTATGATTCAGTATTCAGGATGTTTCTACTCCCATCCCTCCCACCACTACCTTTTGAGGGCGTAGGACCCATAAAATAGCAAGAGTCTTTTGTCTGGTGCTCCTTCAGCTGTGAGATGATCCTCTCCTACATCTCATACCAGTTTGCACTGATACATCTAACCCTCACCCACTGCTGTTTCAAGTGGGAAAATAGAACATTGCTAGAGCTGGGGTCCTTTACTGCTTGAACTATTGAGGTAAGTGAACAAAGGTTTGTTACTTTTAGTTTGGTTTGTTATTTTAATTGACCAACTCAAAAACTGGCGTTTCTCTCTCAGACAGATTGGAGCAGCAAGCAGGGTAAGTGAAGCTCAATGCCTTTTGGGAAGGCACACTTTGGGATGTGCTCAGTAAATCAGTGGGACATTTCTGGAGTGATGGGGGAGAGGGTACCATTAGCCAGAGGGTATCATTAGCCAGAAGTCTGAGAGCCCCCTGGGGCAGCCAGGCCAATGTGCTTTGGACAGGGCTAGCAGACCACACAGGGTGCTCTAGGAGAGTGCTATTTTATTTTTATAGGCTTTTCAGTTCTGAGGGGGGAGCAAAGTTTCTTCTCTTTAGACCTTGATTCACTGGCTGAGACACCTCCTGGGTCAATCAAATTAGAGATTCACCAGAGGGACTCTGAGAAAGCTAGGGAAGCAATTTGTGGCTACTGCTTATGGTCCACCAGTGATGGGATCTAAAGTTGTGGGAGACCCTGCATGACCCAGTAGCAAAAGAAATCTTAGAAACCTGGTAGTTTGCCTCCATATTAAAGGGATTAATCTTGTTAAACTTGGTGAAGGAGAAGGTCACACACACTGTTGGGCCTGTCACTACAAAACACCTTCTTTAGAGAGTCTTGACAGCAGTCATATTGGCTGAGGAGGTGGAAGAAAAGTGGGGGATAAAAAAAGCAAGCATCTGAGACTCTCTCCTTCCTCATCTGGATACTATTTGGCTCTGACAGGATGACCAATCTGTGATGAGTTCTATACCACTGAAAAACATGTTTGGATCACCACTGCAGAAGTGACCGTGTCCCTCTGTGCTGCGCTGGTGGTCCCAGGGTCTACACTGATAGAGTGAGGAGAATGAGATTCTTAACCAGACTCAGATTTCTTGATTCATTCATGCCACCCTTGCTAGATAGGTATCAAGCTCAAGTAAGCCTCCTCATAAGGTCAGGTCATTTGGCACTAGACAATTTAGATATTAACTGCCAAACTGTTGGACATGGAATAGCACCTACTGCCAAGGTAGCAGTGACTGACCAACAGTAAAAGCAATGTGAAAATGGTAATCAATAACCTGCTCCTGGACAATCTAGACCTAGATCTCTATAAGAGATCTATGGGTGAATATCCAATAACGAGGTGTCAAAGAGGTAGGCTGATGGGCTCACTACCAAAGAACTCATGGCCTGGTAGTGGGCCAAGGGATGCCTGAAAGGAAGCTGAATTGGGGTCCACGCGGGGATGACCCCTATGACTAATACAAGTGCTATTGCTCAGGTCTTTCCATTGAATTTTGACATGAGACTGAGAGCCCACCAACCTTTTTCAAGAACACTCTGTTTTCAAAAATGAACAAGACTATGAGTTAGACCAAGTCCCTTTGTCCTCAGTAGGAACATGAGGACCTATGCTAAGGTCAGAGTTTAATGGGGAGGTAGGAAAGGACTGCATTTCTTGGGTTTTTTGGATACTGGGGCTATGTGACTGTGATCTCAACTCCTGACACCAGCATGATGGAGAAACACATTATGTTCACTGGGTAAGGGTGAGGGATCTGGGTAAGGGTCCTGGGTCATTGGGTCTGAGGCCATTACCAATGGGGATCCTTATCCAGATCCAACGATGGGTGTTTCCCTTTAGATCACTATAAATTTCCATTGTTATGGCCCCATTAATATACGTTATCATTACTATAAATGAACTGTCAATGTGAATCCCTGCTTTGTATTAACTCCTAACAGGAATTGCTGCAGTTAGGGCCATTTTAGTTGGCATGTGTTAGACTGTGAACCTATCCAATTACCAGTGCCTAGTGTTTTTTTCTCCCCAAATACCTACCTGGGGAAGAAAAATGACTGCTTCAGGGAGTGAAAGTTTTCCATGAGACTATTTAACTATTCAATAACTCAGTCAACTTGTGCCCACAGCTTTAGATGCACAGAGACTCATTTGACATACATAGCTCAGTGTCATAGTGTAGCCTTACACCTATGGTATCTGACATTGTGACTGTGATACAGGCTATTGTCTGAAGTTGAGGGAACTTGGTATGCAGCAGTTGATATAACGAAAGCCATTTTCAGCCTCCCTCTATTGTGGATGATCATGATCAGTATACCTTGTTGCGGGTTGGTCTGCCATACACCACAACCATACTCCCAACAAGGCTACCAAAATTCTCCAAATATGTCATCAACACAAAAGTGATGATATGGAAACATCCCACTCTCAGAGGGTGCAACAGACTTCTACTCTATTGATGACATAGTCTTAGGGCCCAATATGGGTACTATTAAACAAAGACTGGATGCCTCACAGACCCACATATAGCAACTCAGTGGGGTCATTATTATAGAAAAGGTAGTAATCTGGCACCCTAATAAAATTCCTGAGCATGATCTGTAAGGGTCATGATATCTCATTCCAGAGAAGTGTGCCAAGCGTTGGTCCTCTGTACTTCCACAAATGAAATGAAGACCTAGCAACTGGTGGGACAATTAAGCAACTTACACTGTCACATTCCCCATGTATGGTCCGTGATGGCACCTACCTATGGAGTAACTAGAAAGGCCTCTTCCTTTCAGTGGGGTCACGACCAAGAGGATGATGTGGAGATCCTCAGACAGGCCACCAGGCTGCCCTTCCCCACCCACCCCCCGCCATTTGCTCTTTGAGTTACAGAACTCAGCAACATTTCTGTTTACCAGTTGGAGGCTGTGGCAGAAGACCGCTGACACAGGGGTCTTGAGGCACCCCTTTGGGCTTTCAAACCCATATCTCTAGGAGTCAGCTGAAAGGTAAACACCCTTTAAGAGACATTTACTGACCTGTTATAGGGTCTTGGTAGATGCTGAGTGGCTGACCTACGACCAAGGGATCAGAAATACCAACCAAAGGGTACGAATAATTTTGCCTTTGTTCTCTAGTTATCTTAGGGTGTTCACACTCTAAGTCAAGGTATAAGATTTCTATAAAATACATGTTCATGAACTAAAGAAAAATAATCTTCTGATAAGTTTAATTTAAAATAAAGTTATCTATAATTATTATACTTACTATTGAGTCTTTCTCCTTTAGAAGGTCTTTGTTTCTTTACTTCCAGTTGAGTTTCTGACATTGAGTCTCCATGCTCAAGCACAGGATTTTCATCTGGTACTTTACGATGAGCTACACAAAGAGAGGCATTTAGTCCAATAAAAGGAAAAACAGATACACTGTTTGATCCTATACTTTCAAGTTACTGACAAGTGTACCTCAGCATTTTCTCACATTTTCAAAAGTTATATGTAAATTACTATAACGCTGGATTGATATGAAAATGGTGAGAAGAGTTTTAATGGATGTGTACTGAAACTGTCTCATCATTTCATTAATATTCATAGGTTTCAAATATGTTCCAGTTTGGTCTCCAGTTTTCTTAACACTTTAGGTTAAAACACAGTCATAAACCAAACCACAAAAAGGTATATGCACAAGATTATTCATTACAGCATATCTGCAATTGTAAAATACTCAGAACCACTTACATGTGGAAATGTAGGAGACTGGTTCCATAAACCAAGGTATATACTATAAACTATGGTAATATCAACTATGCTGTACAGTATGGTCCAAACAACTGTACATACAACTGTAAAAGGAATGAAAAAGATCCCATAAACTAACATGGCGGAATGTCTAGTATATAATGTTAAATGAAATAAAAAACTGATAGAATAGTATATTATCTTTTAGGAAAGAACAAAAAGAAAACAAAAAAAATAGAGAGATAGTTACCTTTACAAAATGAAACATAAGAAAGATAAACCAGAAAACAAAATAGTTTGTTACCAAAGACACTGAAGACCATGCTCACTGAATTACTACTGTTAGTGCTAAGTCTGTCCCTGGCATTGATAATACAGCCTATAATGCAGTGATTTTTTGAGACTCATTTTTAATGAAAAAGAATGTAAAGCTCTCAAGATTGCTTTGCCAGGGCTTCCCTGATGGCGCAGTGGTTCAGAGTCCACCTGCCGATGCAGGGGACACGGGTTTGTGCCCCGGTCCGGGAAGATCCCACATGCCACGGAGCAGCTGGGCCCGTGAGCCATGGCTGCTGCGCCTGCGCGTCCGGAGCCTGTGCTCCGCAATGGGAGAGGCCACAACAGTGAGAGGCCGGTGTACCGCAAAAAAAAAAAAAAAAAGATTGCTTTGCCAGTGACTTGAGGAGACCAGTTAGACTGGGGTACTTCTCCTCTATCATTAAGGAGGTTATTTGTTGCTTCCATGACCTGACTACTGTAAATAGTGTTGCAATGAACATTGGCATGCATGTGTCTTTTTGAATTACCATTTTTCTCTGGGTATATGCTCAGTAGTGGGATTGCTGGGTCATATGGTAGTTCTATTTTTAGTTTTTTGAGAAACATCCATACTGTTCTCCATAGTGGCTGGATCAATTTACATTTCCACCAACAGTGCAAGAGGGTTCCCTTTTCTCCACCCCCTCTCCAGCATTTACTGTTTGCAGATTTTCTGATGATGCCCATTCTAACCGGTGTGAGGTGATACCTCATTGTAGTTTTGATTTGAATTTCTCTAATAATTAGTGATGTTGAGCATCTTTTCATGTGCCTCTTGGCCATCTGTATGTCTTCTTTGGAGAAAAGTCTATCGACAGACAGAAGAATGGATAAAGAAGACATGGTACATATATACAATGGAATATTACTCAGCCATAAAAGGGAACAAAATTGGGTCATTTGTAGAGATGTGGATGGACCTAGAGACTGTCATGCAGAGTGAAGTAAGTCAGAAAGAGAAAAACAAATACCGTATATTAAGGCATATATGTGGAATCTAGAAAAACGGTACAGATGAACCTGTTTGCAAGGCAGAAATAGAGTCACAGATGCAGAGAACAGATGTATGGACACCAAGGGGGGAAATGGGGGGTGGGCTGAATTGGGAGATTGGGATTGACATATATACACTAATATGTATAAAATAGATAACTAATGAGAACCTGCTGTATAGCACAGGGAACTCTACTTCACTTCGTTGTACAGTAGAAACTAACACAACATTGTAAAACAACTATACCCCAGTAAAAAAAAGGAGGTAATTTGTGAAACTTGGTAAAGAGATGTGTCACAGCAGACTCCCTCTTTCAGAGTGCTTTGACAGCGGTCACTCTGCCCAAGGAAGTGGGGAGGGCAATGATGTGAACACTTGATTCCCTCTCCTTCCCCAGCTCCTTTCTCAGGTTTGGCCCACTTATGATGAGTTTCCTGACACTGAAAAAAGGTGTTTTAACCACCCGTATAACCATCTGGAAGGTGCCTGATAAGCCACCCTGATGGTCCTTTGGTTCAACAACGAGCAGCAAGAACAGGAGACAATGAGACTGGTAACCAGACTCAGATTTCCAGTGTCATTTGTGCCATATGTGCTGTTTTCCTAGTTCAATTAAACCTCCTTATAAGGTGATGTCAATTGGTTTACAAGACAATCCAGATCTTCACTGACAAATTTCAGGGAAAGGAAGAACCAGCAACAGATAGATATCATCTGGCCAGTGAAGAAAGTGACCTAAAAATGGTAATCAGGAACCCATTTATGGATGACCTGTTTAAGTGCTTTCCCAAGGAAATCTCTGGGTCTAGTTACTCAACAACGGGAACTCACAGAGAACACTGATGGACTCTCCACCAAGGAATTCACAGGTGACCCAACACACAGACACTCTAGAGTCCAAATGATGATGACACCTATGACTAACACTAGTGCTCTTCCCTCTGCATTTCCCAGTGAATCTTGAGATGAACCTGAGAAACAACCCCCCTGCCATTACTTTTATCCAACCTCTCCGTTTTCTATATAAATAAGAATTAAGGTTAGGCTAAGATTCTTATCTCCCCAGTTGTGATATGAGGATATGTGCTAAGGTTCAATGGAGAGATAGGTGTGAATTGCATATCTGGGCCTTTTGGACACTGATGCACATATGACTAAGATCTCTATAACCACGGACACTACAATGAGGAGAAAACAGATAATGCTCACTGGTTTTTGGTCTGAGCTCACCAAATGGGATCTTTATCCAAATCCAACTATAGGCATGTCCCTACACACCACTAAAAATCTCCATTGTTATGGCTTCCATAACTGAATGTATTACTGGTTTAGATGTATTTTCTATGTGCATCTCACCCCTAAGGCCTGATAGGAACTACTGCATTTTAGGGCCATTTTAGGGGGGCATGTGGAAAACCAGTGCCTAGCACCTTTACCAACCAAAAACAACTCATTGCCCTTATTGCTGAACTTAATGAAACAAAAGTTCTCCATGAGGTTATTTCTCCATTCATAAGCCCTTTCGCTCTGTGTGTAAGGCCTTGGGTGCCTAGAGACTCAATTGATTACCGCTGGCTCAATGCCATAGTACAGCTCCAGACACTGGCATCACATGGTCCTGTGACCTTCACAGAAGTTTACTGCTCAAGGTGAGTCACGTAAGTATGCAGCAACTGATATCACAAGTGCCCTTTTTAACATTCCTGTTCTCACAAATGGCCAGGATCAGTTTACCTTATGTGCAATGGGTTACAACATACCTTTAATGTCCTTCCACAAGCCCATGACCTAGAAAAAGCCCTGCTCCAAGATTGAGTACTAAAACTTCCACTATATTGATGACATCCTCCACTGGAACCAGATAAGAGTACTACCCAACAGAGACTGGATTCTATGATGACCCACATGTGACAGCACAGCTGGGTCATTAATGTAAACAAGGTATAAAGATCTAATACGCAACTGAAATCCCTGGGGGCAAAGTGGAAAGGGGTACACTGTCACTCCAAGCTCCAAGGAAACTAAGTTTTCCTTCTCCATCCCCCACCAAGATACAAAGGAGGCCAAGCTTTTTTCAAGCACTCCAAAGAGCCAAGCTTATTTCTATCTCTACCACAACAAACACAAAGGACACTCAGTGTAGGTGTGTGTATGAATATCTGTATATATATGTGCATATATATGTATACATATGTATATACAGGAGTTCAACTCCAGGCCAAAATCCTGCTTGATTTTGCAGGTCCAACCACAGACAATTACAAGGTCTCTACCTGAAAGTTCTCATGGGGGAATGCTTCTCACCCCACACCAAATTTGATGCATACCCAGTGAACTTTAGACACTGGAGGTAGTTGCAGTGGAGGACTAAGGCCCATCCATCCATACCATGCTCTTATGCGTTCTGGATTCCTACACAGGTGCCTCCATCACAGGCCGCCTTGTGAAAGGGGGAGGGGTCAGCTGATACACTGCACTTTTCAGGTGCCTCTGTGTAGACCACTTCACTGGGGGAACCTAAAGATACTTTCCTCAGTTACTACACAGTATTCAAGACTTTACACTCCTAGCCATCCTACATCAATATCCACAAGGTTCCTGAGGTCATAAAAGGGCAAGAGCCTTTCATTTGGGGCTCCTTCAGATATGAGATAATCTTCCGCCAACCCGTACTCCCATCCGCACTGACATCTGACCCTTGCCTGGTTTGGTTCCATGGGGAAAATGAAACACTGGTGGAGCTGGGGCCCTTTCCTGTTTAGACTCTTGCTTATACTATTATAGGAAGTACATAAAATCTTAATTGTTACTTTCAGTTTGGCTTGCTATCTTAATTGACCAAGTCAAAACAGGCAGCTTTCTCTGACAGATTGGCAGAGAGAACAAAGTAGTCAATAAAGTAAAAAATTCCTTTCTGGAAGGAGCACTTTGAGAGGTGCTAGTGAGACTCTTTCAGGGCATACTGCTGGATCATTTGCAAGAGTCAAAGGGTCCCACAGGGCACATCAGCAGCCAGGCTAATGTGCCTCCAGAAGTGCTAGTGGACACCATGGGGCTCTCCAGGAGAGTACCATCATAACTTCACTCTCATTCTTCCAAGCCCTGGTGGAAATTACTGCACTGAAGGCCATGTTAGAGGAGCATAAGAGGATTGTGAACCTACCCGATTACCAGCACCTAGTACCTCTATCTCCCAAAAATCTGCCTGGGAAAGAAAAAGGAAAAACTGCCCTCTTTACTGAGTTTAACGCAGAAAAAGGCTCCTTGAGACTATATCCCTATTCAATAATTCACTTGACTTGTGTACCTGATCTTGAGTTCACAGATACTCAATTGATTTTGGCTGTTCAACCAACAGGACAACCTTGGCATCAGTGATATCTGACAGTGTGACTGTCGTAGTAACTTGTCCAGAGTGTGGGAACTTGTTATTCAGCAATGGATATCACAAACGCCCTTTTCAGTATCCCTCTGAATGGGAATGATTCCAGTCAGTTCATCTTTATGTGGAATGGGTACAATTCACCATTCATATCCTTCCACAAGTCTATCTGAATTTCCTATCTGTCATCAATGTATCAAAGCCTGGAAAATCTCCAGATTTTCCAGAGGAGGGACTGGCCCTCTACTTTACTGATAATGTCATCCTATTGAGTCCAGAGAAGGGAGCTGGACAACAGCCCAACAAGGGCTGGACACCCTGCTGACACACAAGTGGCAACTTACTGGGCCACTTTTACAGAAAACGTACAAGTACGCAAGTGAAATTCCTGGGCTTGACCTGGGTATGGAGTCTCATTGTTTCATTCCATGGGAAAAGACTGGCTTTGATCCTCTCTGCTCCAGCAATTAAAAAGGAGGCCCAGGGACTGATGGAACTCTTCATCTACTTGCATTCTTAATGCCATCCATCTAAAGGGTTACAAGAAAGGTCATTTCCTTTCAGTGGGGCCACAGCAAGGAGGATGACCTGCAAGCCCTCCAACAAGCCACCTAGGCTACCCTTCCTTTTGGCCCCTCTGATCCATTTTGCCATTTGAGTTACAGCTCTCAGCAACTATCTATTCACCAACTGGAGCTTAAGGCAGAAGAACACTGCCACAGGTCAGAGGCACCTGTTGGGGTTTTTAATTCATCATCTCTAGGAACAGCTTGCTGAAAGGTACACACCCTTTAAGAGACAATCATTAGTCCATTATTGGGCTTCAGGGGATACTGAACACATGACCCACGACTGTGAAACAGTCTCAAGACAACAAATTCTGACCAAAAGTTATCAACAGTTTTGCTTTTGTTCTCTAATTATCTTAGGGCATTCATACTTTACGTCAGTGAAAAATTTCTATAAGAACATGCCCAAATAGGATTCCTGGAGTGGAGATGTCCATGCTTGCTCCGCTGCCCCCACTGCCCCCACTGCCCCCACAGCTTAAGAGTGTACACCATCATCTGAGGACGGCTCAGGAGCATGACAAGCGGGGACCCCCTGTGGTGGCTTATTACTGTCATTTGTATGCAATGCAAACAGGAATGAATGTTGATAGTAAAACTCCTGAATGTCGTACGTTTTCACCAAAGCTAATGGATCAGTTAGATGCTCTTATGAAACAGTTGGGTGATAATGAAGCTGTTACTCAAGAAATAGTTGGCTCTGCCCATTTGGAGAATTATGCTTTGAAAATGTTTTTGTATGTAGATAATGAAGATCATGCTGGGCGATTTCACAAAAACATGATCAAGTTCTTCTACACTGAAAGTCTTTTAATAGATGTCAAAATAGCGGTTGGAGAACTCACTGATGAAAACGTGAAACACAGAAAGTATGCAAGGTGGAAAGCAACATATATTCATATTCATAATTTTTTAAAGAATGGAGAGACTCCTCAAGCAGGGCCTGGTGGGATTGAAGAAGAGAATGATGTTGGAGAAAATGAAAATTCTGGAGCAACCTCTCTGCCCACTCAGCCCCTCAGCCGTCATCTTCAACTTATGACCCAAGCAACATGACATCAAGCAGCTTTACGGGAATACAAATTCCTCCCGGTGCCCGCATTCCTGCTAATACCCCAGAAGAAGCTCCTCACAGCACAGGTGTAACAAGTAACACTATCCAGCCTACTCCACAGACTATTCCGGCCATTGATCCTGCACTTTTCAGTACAGTTTCCCAGGGAGATACCCAACTAACATCAGAGGACTTTGCTAGACCTCAGAAATACTGCAAATAACGCTGGCAGAGCTTTGCAGTATGAAGATGTCAGCAGTGCAGAATCTACAGAAGACCCTCAAGTTACTGACCACAGGCAGAGAATGAAGCCTTTGTAGAACAGATCCATGCATTTTTGGCTTAAAGAACTAACAGTCCATTACTCTATCTTCAGCCTATCAGAAGCACAGTTTTAAGGAAGATTTCAGTTCCACTGACTATAACAATAAAGTCTGTGTCTGTGTATCAGATTCCTGTTGAAGCTTTCATCAACAGCCTCGACCAGTTTTCATTGTCCATTTAGTGGATCCAGTAATCTCTGGGTATACACAGGGCTGATGCGAGCAAGATCCTAAAAATGTCCACTGAACCCTGCTTGTTCAAAAAATGAAAACACCCTTCTATGAAATATACTGGGAATCAGCTTTGTATCTTAATTTAAATAAATTAAGGAATTTTTAAATCCATAATTTGGACAAACAGACCATATTACTTTGCTATAAAATTCTAATTTAACTTTTAATAAAGATTGCAAGAATATTCTAGATTAGAGGTCACATTTTGTTTTCCTTAGGACTTATGAAACAGATATGAACGTCCTAAATTGTCAGATGAATCTGAAAGAGATTATGTTTAAGTTTCAATTTATATTCATATTAATTATAGCTACATTAAAAGTTAAAATGTTCATGGAAAGAAATACAACAAGGTAAACAGGTAGAATCAGTTTTAGATGTAAGAATAATGTTGGTTTCCCAATTGTTTTCCCTTATCCATTGGCGTTTAAGGTGAATTGGTATTTGCTTCATAGGCAGTTTGACTGCATGTATCAGAGAATGAAAACAAGACATTTGCAGTAATGCCTGGAAACTTGGTGCTTTGAGTTACGGTTCTCCTCTGCTACTATGGAATGGATTCCATAGAGTGTATAGCTATGAATGATGCAGATTTTAAGAACATAGATTCTCAGTTGATAAGTTAATAAGTTTTGTGAGGAATTATGGACTTACTGTGTCACCTGCATTTGTGCTGTGTAAAAAATAAATACAAGGATTCTTTTAACTAGTTCAAAAAAAATATGCCCAAATACATATTCACGAACCAAAGAAAAAGGATCTTCTGATGAGTACAATTTAAAATAATTTAAAGTCATCTATAATTATTAAACTTACTAATGAGACTTTCATCTCTAGAAGATTTTTGTTTCTCTGCATGCATTTCTGTTTCTGACTTTGAGTCTTGATGCTTAAACATAAGATTTTCATCTGACACATGATCATGAGCTACAAAAAGAGATACATTTAGTGCATTAAACTGAAAAACAGGTCTATTGTGAAATCCCTATATATCAAATTTATACACATGTTTAACAGTATTTTCTTTCATTTTTATAAACATAAAATATAAGTAAATTACCATAATGCTAGACCTGACATAAAAATTGTGAGGAAAATTTTAATGTGTGTAAGACTCACTGTTTCATAAATATTTGTTGGCATCAAATACATTTTATATTAGTCCCTACTTGTTTTAGATTATTATAACTTAGGTTAATATATACTCATAGACCAAATAATGAAAATGTATATGTAAAGGTTATTCATTACACCATATTTTTAATTGCAAAATACTCAAAAGCACCTAAATGTACTAGCATGTGAGACTGGTTGAAAAACAAGGTACATACTATAAATTAGGGTAACACAAATTATGGTGTATGATGTGGTACAAAGAGTTACACATAAAGCTATAAAAAGATACTTATAAACCAACTTGGAGGGACTGTTAGGAGATAGGTTAATTGTAGAAAAAATGAAAAGAGAAGGTATCAAGTATGCTATCTTTTAGGAAAGAAAAGAGTGGGAAATGGAAAGAAAATATAAGATACTTACCTTTAGAAAAGGAAATACAGGAAAGATAAACCAGAAAACAATGTAGTTGGTCACCTAAAGTTGCATGCAGAATAGGACACAAGGACTACTGTTAAATCTAAACATGTCCCGGGCACTGATGACATCCTTGATGCAGCAAATGTTTCTCATATTTAATGAGAAAGTAGGTAGAGCCCTCAGGATTGCTTTGCCCAGTGACCCAAAGAAACCAAAGAGATTTGGATAGTTTGATTCCACCACAAAGAAAGTAATCTTGTTAAAATTATTTAAGGACAGAAGCACCTTTTCTGGTGTGTTACGGCAGAACCCCCTCTTTCAGAACATCTTCCATGACCACTTTGCCCAAGGAGGATGAAGAAGGAGGTGGGAGAAATGTCATGTACACCTGAGACCTTCTCCTTCCTTTACTAGCTATTATTTGTTCTTGGACTGGTTTGGTCCAATCATGGTGAGTTCTCTGACACTGGAAAACTTTTCTGGTCTACTCTTACGGCCACCTATAAGGGGCTCTGCAAGCCACCTGACAGTTCCTTGATTTGACAATGAGAAGTAAGAAAAGTAAATGATGAGATTGTTTACCAGACTCAGATTTAAGTTCATTCTTGCCACTCTCACTGGTCATCTGTCTCAATTAAACCTCCTTATAAGGTGATGTCACTTGGTTCACGGCACAATCCATGCGTGAAATGAAAAATGTCCAAGCAAAGAAAAAGCAGCTACTGGCAAGACACCAACTTTTCACTAGTAGTCAGAGTGATGTAAAAATGGTAATTGGGTACTTACTCCTGGATCATTGGGTTAAGGTCTTTCCCAAAGACATCTATGGGTCCTGTTACCCAACAATGGGTCTCAAGGAGGAGACTGATAGACTCTCCTTCAGATACTTGTGACTAGATAATGGCCACTGGGGGCACAACAGAGTCCACATACTGACAACTCCTATGACTAATATAAATAATATTCCTTCCAACCCTCCCAGTGAATCTTGACCTGAAATCTCTCTACTTTTATCCAAACCTCTTAACTTTAAAAATAAACAAGACTATGAGTTAGGCCAAGGTCCCTATGTCCTCACTGGGAACATGAGGACGTTTGCCAAGGTCACAGTTCAATGGGGAGGTGAGGAAGAATTTCATTCCCTGGTCCTTTTGTACCAAGATGAGGGAAAACTATATATATATATATATATGTATATATATATATATATATACACACACACATATATATGTGTGTATGTATTTATATAGTCTAAGTGTGCGTCCTTAACACCCCATCCTTATCCCCAAGCCATGATCATAAATACTACAACTGAGGCCATTTCAGTGGCTCTGGTAGTCTGTTAGGTAGTCTGAACCTAACAGTCTATCAGTACCTAGTCCCTTTGACTACCAAAGCAACTCCCTAGAGGATGAAAAGAGACAGCTTCCTCATTACTGAGCTTAATGAAGCAAAAATTATCCGTAAGACTATTTCTCTATTCAGTAGGCCCATCTGGCCTGTGGATTAGGCCTCAGGTGTATGGAGATTCAATTGATTATTAGAGGCTCAATGCAGTCACGCAGCTTGAGCACTACTAGTGTTACCTGAAGTTATGACAGCCATGAAGGCTGTGGCCCAAGCTGAGGCAAGTACAAAGCAACTGACATTACAAATGTCTCTTTCAGCATCCCTGTCCACAGGGATGATCAGGATCAGTCTGCCATACGTGTCATGGGTTGCAACGTACCTTTAATGTCCTTCCATAAGGCCATGACCTGGAAAAAGTCCCACTCCCACATGGAGCCCTAGCCTCCCCCTATATTAACAATAACCTCCACTAGGCCTAGGCAAGGGAATTACCCAACAAACACAGAAAGCATGTGGACTTACATGTGAGTTAAGTCTGGGCCATTAATACAGAAAAAGTACCAGGACCTGGTACCCAAGTGAAATCTCTGGGAGTAAACTGAGAAGAGGCAGTATGTGTCATTCCATAGGAGACAACTGCCAAGCTTTAGTTCCTCTAAGCCCCCACAAACACAAAGGAGGCCCAAAGATTGGTGGAACTTTTCAGCTACTAGTACTTTGACATTCACCATGTGGTCATCTTGATGGCATTTGTCTATTAGGATACCATTTTTGGTCTCTACCTTTGAGACCAAAACAGGATGTCCTAGAGGCCCTCCAACAGGTTTCTGACTCTGTCCATCCCCTTGGCTCCTCTGATACACATTTGTGTTTGAGTTACAGATCTCAGCAACCTCTCAGTTTGCTGATTAGAGCCTATGGCAGAAGGACACTGCCAGAGGCCAGAGGTGCCCATTAGGCTTTTGGTATCATAGTCACCTGGAGTCAGATGAAAGGTACAAACCCTTTAAGCGACTACTATTGGCCTGTTATAAGGCCTTGGTGAATAATTAGTATATGACCCATGGCCATGAAATAGTCTTATGACTAGAAATACCAACCAAAAGTTATGAATATGTTGGCCTTTATTCCCTAGTTATCTTGGGGTATTCACACTTTAAGTGTAAAACTGCTATAAAATATATGCTTAAATACTGATTCATGAACCAAAGAAAAATATCTTCTGATCACTTTAATTTAAAATAATTTAGGGAGTGACATCAGCAAAACGGCAGGGTAAGAGATCGCAGTCCCGAAGCCCATGGAAACACTGATTTAACAATTCGTGGATGAAATACATTTATGAGAGCTTCAGAGTCCACTCAAGAAGTTCCAGCATGCTGGTGGAACATAACATCCTAGATAGCTGCATTAAAAAGGGTAAGAAGAACAGTTTTGCTTTACCTATGTCACCCCTCCACCAAGTCAGCACAGCTCAACACAGAGAGAGATTCCCTCACCCACAATTTTTCCCATGGGAGAAAGAGAGAGGGAAGTGAGCATAAGGCTCTCAAAGCCTTTCAGGGTGCTGCCTGAGAGGCCCACTTCTATCTCAGCTTAATTAGAACACTGAAGGAATCAACATAGCTGGATTGTCTGTGGGCAGCTAGAAAAAAGACCTCAAATAAAAAACCTAACTTTACACCTCAAAGAACTAGAAAGAGAAAAATAAACTAAACTCAAAGTTATCAGAAGGAAGGAAATAATAAAGGTTAGAGCAGGAATAAATGAAACAGAAAACAGAAAATTTTTCTAAAATTTTAGCCCATTCATGAATGGGCTAATCCCACTCATGAGGGCTCCACCCTCATGACCTAAGCACCTACCCACTCCTAATACAATTACATTAGACATTAGGATTTTAACACATGAATTATGGGGGGGACACAAACATTCACTGGTAGAAACTTCCAAATTCATTTTATGAGGCCAGCATTACCTAGATACCAAAGCCAAACAAAGACACCACAAGAAAATGACAAGCCAATATCCCTGATGAACTCATGCAAAAATTCTCAACAAACTACTAGCAAACAATTCAACAGCACATTAAAAAGATCATACACCATGACCAAATGGTATTTACTCTACTCAGGCAAGGATGGTCCAACATCAATCAATGTGACACATACACCACATTACAGAGCAAGGGATAAATATTACATGATCATCTCAACAGGTGCAGAAAAAAAATCTGAAAATATTCAATACTTTTTCATGATAAAAACTCCCATAAATTAGGGATAAAAGGAATTTACCTCAACCCAATAAAGGCTATATATAGAAAATCCTGAAGACTCCACCAAAAAGCTGTTAGAACTAATAAGTGAATTCAGTAAAGGTGCAACATACAAAGTCAATATAAAAAAAATTAAAAATCAATTGCATTTCTATACACTAACAACAAACTATGAGAAAGAGAAAATAAGAAAATAATCCCATTTACAATGACATCAAAAAGAAAAAAATAAATTTGACAAAGGAGATAAAGTATTCATACACTGAAACTATAAAATATTGATGACAGAAATTAAAGAAGACAAAAATAATGCAAAGATATTCCATGCTCGTGAACTGGAAGAATTAATATTTTTAAAATGTCCACACCACCCAAAGCAAGCTATGGATTAAATGCAATCCTTATTAAATTTCCAATGGCATTTTTCACAGAAATAAAACAAAAAAATCCTAAAATTTGTATGGACTCACAAAAGATCCTTTATAGTCAAAGCAATCTTGAGAAAAAAGTACAAAGGTGGAGGCATCATACTTCCTGATTTCAAACTACAGCTGACCCTTGAACAACATGGGGGTTAGGGGCACTGACCTCCCTTCCCACCTACACAGTCGAAAATCCACACAGAATTTTACAGTTGGCCCTCTATATCCATGGCTCTGCATCCACAGATTCAACCAACCACAGATTATGTAGTACCATAGCATGTATTTACTGAAAAAATTCTGTGTATAAGTAGACTCATGCAGTTCAAATCTGTGTTGTTCAA